TGTGTTAGGTATTACCAAAATATATTAACTCATTCAAATTTTATAATTCTGTCAGGCAGGCATTAATGATATCATTAATATTAATATTTCTACTTTTAGATGGAGAAACCAAGGCCAAGAAATACTAAATGATCTGCCCAAAGACAGTATGTGGAAAAGCTCATTTTAAACTGTGGCATCATGGCTCTAGTGTCTACCCTGTGAACCACTCTAGTGTGCTTCCCATTATTAACAGCTCATTATCTTTCACTTTATGAGTAGATTACTGATAATTAATAAGGAGTGCACGTTTTCAATATGCATGATACCATCAAATAAATATTATGCCTTTGGAAAACAGCAGCACTTTTCTATTTTAACATATACTGTTAGAATTTTTAGTATAAGTTGTCTCTGATATTTGGCAAACCAATTTAATTAACCCTATATCCTTACTGAGGGTGAGTGTAGAATTCTTTCTCTCCTCTCTCTCTCTGTTTTCCTCCAAAATATCTTACACAATTGTTATTTTAGTCCTTGTGGTACTTTAGATGGGAACAAGTTTGATGTCAGGATAATATATCAATAGTTTAAAATAGTTTTTATAGAAGGAATAACCATAATAAAGCAGGCAGATGACTTGTTAGATATATATTTGCTAATGTGATGGGAACTATCACTAGAAGACAAAGAACAAATCAAAGGCACCAATTATATGGTTTTAAAAAGATATTCAAGCCGGGCTCGGTGGCTCAGCCTGTAACCCCGCGCCTTTGGAAGGCTGAGGTGAGTGGATTGCCTGAGCCCACGGGTTCGAGACCCGCCTGGGCAGCAAGACCTCATCTCTACAATAAATAAAAAAATCAGCCGGACGTAGTAGCGCATGCCTGTAATTCCGGCTACTTGGAAGGCTGAGCCGGAAGGATTTCTGGAGCCCAGCAGGTTGAGGCTGCGGTGGCCGGGAGCGGCCACTGTACTCCAGTCTGGGCAACAGAGTGAGACTCCAAATTAAAAAAAAAAAAAAAAAAAGTATTCAAAGTTGTGACCTATAAACATCTACCTAATCACATATTGACAGAATGACGTTGATTTTCGCTTCTAAATTGTCGAGACCAGTGCTTTTCAACCCTGGTTGTACATTATAATTAATGAGGGATAGACTGGTTAAAAATTCTGATATCCAGGCTACATCCTTGGTTTTAGTCTGTGGGGGACAGACTTGGGCCTCAGTGTTTTTTTTACAGTTCCTCAAATAATTCCAATATGCTGAGTACAACTGCCTTAGCAGATTTCTGGATGTTCATTTACATTGAACCGAAAGCTTGGCTTGTCAAAAGCCTCCAATTAAAAGAGCAGAGTCTGCTTCTCAGTCACCTGAAGTTTGGCTCCCATGGAGTAAGGATGCTCAATTTGGCAGAACTTGAGCACAGGAAGAACCACAGAGGAGATGATTTATCTTTTCTCCAGGCTTGCTGCAATCATTACAGGAGGACATGTTTATTTATTAGAATAATAAATAGTGGTTTTGTCTTTAGATTCATATGTAAGATTCTCAGCATCTTCAAAGAAGGAGCTTTCATACCTCCAAAACCTCAGACTCTCTTGCTTTTTATCTTTCTCTGCTTTTTACGTATATAACTTTTGGCAGGTAGAATTTTCATTGATTAAAATCAAAGAGAGACACATTTTTAAAACGTGCCTCCTCCTCAAAACCCCAGCTATGTCAAACAGGATGAAGAGCTGGCTGTTGGGTTCCTTGCTTTGAAAGAAAAAATATAGGGATGCAATATTCTTAGAACTCTGTTGCCATCTAAGAATTTTACATTTGAGGATAAAGTCAATGCCTCCATTGTTGAGTCATGGAGAATGTGAGTTTTCTCTCAACCCTGGGGACCTCTTCTGAATAAATGCAGCTCAGGCTGCCCTCAGAACCAACTAAATAAAAAAACCCATCTTTTCATGGCTGAGACACAAAGCTGTGAGCTTCCAGAATGCTCCACCTGGTGAGAAGCAGAGACCACAGATCCATCTTAAGACATGCCTGCAAATAATCCTAAACAGAGGGCCCAAGAAATTGAGGTAGGAAAGAAAATACCCTGCTCGTACCCTTCTAGTGTCAGCTTCTGCTTGGTTCACGTATTTCCCATGCTTCTCTTCAATAATCCTTTGCTGTTATTACTCTCCTTACATATCTGACCATCATGAACAGTGCCATTCAGCTCAAGAATAGTCTTCATATTAATTCCTATCATTGGGGAGGAAACTAAGGAATCACACCCTAGCAGTTTGCTTGTTATTTCAGCATTATGAAACACTGAAAGACCCTTCAATATTAGTGCCAAGAAGGTTTTGCATCTGACCAGGCTGTAATCACATATGAAAACTATCGGCAAAGTGAATATGATATCTTCCATTTGTGTAAGAACTTAAACACAAAAAGAAGATGATTTAATTTCATATCCTTTGAACTTTTATCTTTTCCAAAGTTGTTAAATGTATTCCAAATAAGTATGGAAAAAGTCTTTTTTTTTTTTTTTTTTTTTTTTTTTTTTTAGAGCTAGGGTCTTGCCATGTTGCCCAGGCTGGTCTTGGACTTCTGGTCTCAAGAGATCCTTCCGCGTTGGCCTCCCAAATATTAGGGTTGTAGGTGTGAGTGACTGGACCCAGTTGTATGGAAAAAAAGTATGCTGCCTTTTTTTTTTTTTAAAATATCAATAACTCAAACTCATTTAAATGTATTTCCATTTAAGTCATGGCACCAGCAGTAGACCCTTGCACCCAATAGTTTATTTCTATATACCAGAACAAATCCCAAAAAAGTTTTTAATATTGAAAATTCAGGATAGGGATGAAAATATTAAAAAATTCCTTGTTATTGAACTGTAAAGGGTTAGAAAGAAGGACTTAATTATGAAAATAAAAACCTTTCTTTTAATTCCATACTCATAATTAACTCATCAAGCATTTCCAGTGTATTGTTCTAATAAACAGCATCACAGATTTATGAGATTGCTAACCTAGTAAGCGAAATAAATTATGCTTTAAATCATATATAAAGAGGAAAAAGCCAACAGATTTGGGATAGTACTATTGCTGATTTAGTGATACCATAGATACTTTTTTTGTTGTTGTTAACTTTACCAAAATACTACGAGGTGGAAATTGTTATGTGTTTACAATTTGAAGTTAAATGTATCAGAACAAGGATAGATGAAATGTCTTTTTTTGAAATAATGTATTTACAGAGTTTGACACAAAGAAAAATAGCTGTTACACTATAACTCAGAAGAATCAAAAGATACTGCAATAACATAAAATTGCTTTTAATGTTTACCAGTTCATTGTATCTTACAGAAAATGAAAACATTTTTTTTTGTAATACAGATTGGTTCTTCTCCTCAAAATTTATACTCAGTATTTATTAAATATTGATTTTATTTTAATCAGGTGGCTTAATTATTTTGCATTTCCATTTCTTTTGTTGTACATACATTGCTGCTTTGGCAGTAATGAGCTATGATAGAATTAACTTTTCAACAAAACTATGCCAGTTCTCCACTGATCTTTCTTTATGCATTCCATGCTAAAAACTGCTAAGCGATTCCCTTTTAATCCTCCCCTATACAGTGGTCAGCTACTCCATTAGACCACCATATTGCTTGGAGTGCTAAAATTGAGAAACTCAGTGTGGCTGCCAGCAACCAAATTGGAATCTCCTTTGAGTCTACTTCTAATTGCCAAAATAATAAGCAACTAAATTATTGCATAAAATAATACTTAACAGGTACCGGCCCCCTTCCTATGAGAGAAAATTTAAATTGACAAATACCATATTTGGCTAGAAATTACTGTGATGAACCATGGCAGCAATCATTCAAAGATGGCTTCCAGTGTTCATGTGACCAACTTGTTTTCATTCCTATGATGTCTTTTTATACTAATTTATTTTTGTCTGGATTTTTAAATGTAAGTGTTTCAGTCAGGTTTGCAGATCTACTTTGTTCTCACATGGTCACAAGTGTTAATTATGGGCAAAATCATCAAAACAAGATATCCTGGTCCAGCCTCTTTTCTCCTTCTGATACTTTTGGGATCCAAGTCTGAGGAGAAATTTCTGAATTAGCCAGTATTGTATCAACTTTCTGTTAGGAATTGTACCAGAATAACTTTCCTTTTTCAGACATTCTCAGTGAGATATCTTTGGGAATGAAGTAGAAAATAGACATTTGGTGGAAAAACAGCAAAATGAGAACAGTAAAAAGACTCATTAAAGTAGGAGTCTAAAGGGCATGGAAATTCTGATCCTTTGGGCAAAGTCAGAAGATAAAAATTCTGCTCAGCAGTATTTATCGTGTTAAGGTTTTTGTTTTTTACAAGAATGGAAAAATGGTGTGTAACTGATACAGATTTTAATCAGCTAACAGTCACTCCAGAGATTTTGATCAGCACCAATTCCTATACTAATAAGTATTCAAAAGTTAAGAAACGTTACATGTTTAACATTATTAAGGTAGAGTTCTGCAATAGTAACTGAAAATTATACTCCTGCTTCCATAGAAATATGTTCCCACTTAAAATTCCAAAAAAAATACATGTAACATAGGTAATAACAGTTCAAGTATGGATTTCTTCCAGTGAGCTAGCCCCCATATTTGAGGTGTTAGAATTATTTTGGAGCTAGTCCCCTCTTTAAATAACATATTCATATGATCCTAGGCCGTTCGGGTCTCATTAATTTAGAAGTGCAAGTTCTGTTTATGCCACCAGTGTTTGGGTTTAAACCTCACAATCTCTTTGGATTTATAGTTTTGTACAATTTGCATATCCATCCTAACTTAGAAATGTGCATGCATACATTGTCATCTTTTAATATTAAAGCATCTGAAAATTTCCAGGTATGTTTTGATGAAAGAAGGGTTCTACTTTTATTTACAATATTTTGTCTAGATAATATATGAATATAGTTATGGTTTCATGGACTTCCAATTGTTCTATACCTTCCACACACATAACTCTACATTTATAGAGTAAATTTATTAGATTTATTACAGAGCTTTAAATGCAACCACAATAAATTCAGGAAACAGATTTATTTACTCATGTTCATGGGAGGAAAGTCTACATAAAAACATTCATAAAAGCATACCAGCTATGTCATACTTGGGTTATTAAAATAAATCCCATTTATTAGAACTCATTGCAAAACAATGGGAAACCATGAAATGTAATTTGAATACAAATATTGGTCCCTGTAGGGTCTCAGCAGTCATAAAAATATAGGAAAACAGAGCTTTATTTAAGATTGGAACTGCTAATGTGCAAAGTTGTTTTTTGTAATTGAATTTAAACTTTCATTTAAAGCCCTGAAGATTTTAGTGTAAACTCTTTGATGACAGCTTCAGCATTTTATTTAATCCCAATGAGGACCAGCAAGGGAAGTGACATTACTGACCACATTTTCTATTTGGAAGAAGGTTTGGAACTACATCATTGATTTTTTTTCCCCAAACACAGGCACCAGGTGGGCTTTCTAGTGAATATACAAATAGGAATAATAAGAAATTTGAAAGTCAGGTCTTTGTTTCTTGGTGAGGCAAATGTATAGTTATTTATTCCTTTTATGAAGCAATTTTTCATGTAATGTAAATAAGAAAAATATTAAATAGTTTAAAGTTATTTTATAGGACAATAACATTTCATAGGCTAACATAAAATCAAGCTGCTAAATTTTACAATTTTTCTGTCCAGCAGTTTCTCTATATAACTGCCCTGAGTAGATGCTAAATGCTGCTTAGCAAATGGCCCTTAGAATTTAAATATAACTCAGTAAAGCTACTCAAAAGATAAAACAGTTCTTCTCAGACATGTGTAATTTTGATTATAAGAAGGTAGAAGTTTTTCATCGGTTAAATATTATCTGCTTACTTAAGTCTCATACTTCATATAAACGGGATTATTAAGGAGTTTCCACTGTGCTTATTACTATGCACTCGAGTCTGTATGAATTTTTTTGTTTTTGGTCAAAAAGGTAGAATTTTAAAGAGTAAAATAGTATGTCTATTGGAGACCTGAAATATTAACTTTTAGAAAAGTGTAGATTGTTCCCTTGTGAAACTGAGTTTCGTTTGACCCCCCAGTTTCTGTGAAGAGGCCTGTATTTCAAATCTGTTGCTCTAATTGGCTTATTGTAGTGCACTTCAAAATTGTACAAATGTGTAAAACGTGTGCTTGTAGAAGCTGCTGCTCTGAGTAGCTTTACTTTCCTGAATTTAGTCCTAGCAATCCTCAAGCGATGACGGCATGCCCGTTCATGGAAAGGTACTTGGGTTGACAGAGTTAAATGGTTGGGCCCGAAAGCCCCTTGATGTAGAGCTTTCCTTAAAATTATATTAATTTATATTATCTATTGAATGATAGCTTTACAAAAACAAATCAATGAATTGGTCTTTATGAAAATGACTCTTTACAGTAAGTAAAAAAAGGGTTATCACAGTTTTGGTAACTTGCGCGAGTTCGTATTGAAAAACCACCTTTCACATGTTCGTAGTGACTGGAGACCGCCGCCCGGGCCCTCAGTTGTAGGCCCTGAAGCAGTAGACCCCGTACAGCTTGTGCTTCTTGTCTGGGAAGCCCACGAAGCGCACAGCGGCCTCCGTGGGGCTGCAGCGCCGCCGGGGCCTGGAGATGGGGTAGCGCACGCTGCCATCCGCCAGCCAGCCCGCGTCGCATCGGTCGTAACCCAGAAGCTTCCAGGCAACAAATATCTGGCCCACCTTGGCAATCTGAGCACCGTCGTTGAGGCAGGCTTGCACCGCTTCGTCGTAGGTCAGCTTGGTGGGGTGGATCAGGTAGTAGAAGCGGCCTGCGGGGAGAGGGGCACAGGGTCAGTGGGCCTGTCTGCCTCTGAGCCACCCACAGTGGGAAGGAGCGTTTCTCAAGGACAGGGGAGAGAGGGCTGTGTCTGTGAGGTTTCTGGAAGACGGGACTGTCAGTTAGATGTAGGGTCCCTAGATCGCTCTTCATTCAATCAGTTTTTCCCTTGCCCCTTAATACGTGTCCAGACATGCCCTTTTGTAGCCTTAAACAGAAAAGGGAAGTGACAGATGCAGTTTCTGTTAGCTAATTAGTGACTAAAAGAGCCCTTCTGTGGCACCAAAGACAGAACTCCATGTCAAAAGCAAGAGCTATTGAAATTCTAGCTGTAGCAAGACTGAACTCCAGCACAAGTTTCTGGAGAGGCAAAATTTGAATGTGAAAGGATCAAAAACCATTCCTGACATAAAAGTCCATTTAAAGAAAATCAAAAGCCCTCAAGTCCTTTTCATTACAGGTATCAATAAGACATTATTCCCATTCAAAGACTACAGTATGAAAATGCATAGAGTACAGGAAGTCACTTGCCACAAATAATACGTACTTGGAATATAAACTTCGTCTGTGATCACTCACTAGTTAAGATGAATGTTTATTTTTTTCCACTTCCATCTGTTGGAGCTTAATACCTGACCATTTCTTCATTTCAGAGAAAGACAAGTTAGTCCCAACCGCTTATTGAATAGTGTTCCTTACTGAGATTCCTTTAACATGTATTAAATATGTATAAAATGCATAAAATATGACATCAAATGGTGGAAAGTGATACACACTGACTGGAGATTTTCTCAGCCATCCTGGAGTTTTAGGTAGAACTAATCAGACTCCCTCATTGGATTAGATATTGTGATGTGGTATCTCCTGACCCCCATTAATTAGAGGTTACTGAAGTACAAATGAGTGCTTGGTGGTTCCTTTATTTTCGAGACGGGGTCTTGCTCTGTCACCCAGGCTGGAGTGCAGTAGTGTAATCATAGCTCACTGCAGCCTCAACCTCCTGTGCTCAAGCAATTCTCCTGCCTCAGCTTCCAGAGCAGCTGGGACTACAGGTATGCAGCACCATGCCTGACTTACTCATCTGTTTGTTTTTTTGTAGGGATGAGGTCTCTCTATGTTGCTCAGGCTGGTCTTGAACTCCCGGGCTCAAGTGATTCCCCTTAGTTTTATGTACTGCTTCAGCCTCTGGACTAGTTGGGACTACAGGCATGTGCCACTACACCCAGCTGTTTTTTGTATTTTTGGTAGAGATGAGATTTTGCTATGCTATCCAGGCTGACCTGCTTGCCAGTTCTTTCTTAACTGAGATGATGTCATTTACAGAAAGGGTGGAAGCCATGAAACATTAACTAGGGGGTTGGTTCTAGCATCTATACCAGAGGTCAGCAAACTACAGCACGAGTCAAATTTGGCCTCCTACCTATTTTTGTAAATGACATTTTATTGGAATACAGTCATATCCATTTGTTTGGTATGTCTAGTATGGTTGTTTTTGTGCTACAACATACACATCTATGTGGAGTAGTTGCAACAGACACCACATGACTGGCAGAGTACAAAATATCTACTTTCTGGCCCTTTATAGAGACAGGTTGTTGCCCCATGATCTTTTTTCTACTTTCCCCAAAGCACCAAGGACCTAAACTATAAAAAGATGAACCAAGGGCTTGCATCATGGGTGTGTGATGCAATAGGGCTCCACATGTAGAGTGCCCCTTGTTTGATTTAAGGTTCTACTGTTGCCATTTTGATATTCTTAACATTTTTGAACAAGGAGTCTCACATTTTTATTTTTCCCTGGGCCCCAAAAATGATGGGGCAAGAGAAGGGCTGGGAGTTGTCAGGCCACAACAAATCCTTACCATCACTGATGCCAACTTTCATTCTGCTATTTTCCTCCAGTGTTAGTCCTACTCTATATTTCTAACTCACGTCTCCCTTTGTCCTGAGCTATGCTGGTCATATATGAATAAACACATATTGTTGTTGAGAGAGGGAGAGCTGGGGTGCTATCAAAGACATCTGGACATGAACTTGGGAGAGTCACATGCTACAGAGGGCACACTGTGGCAGCACCAACTTTAACAATAAGAGACAGACTTCCTATCACGTGACGTGTTAACTATTTTACGATAAAACTTGGATGCAATAAAACCCAGGAGTCTTACAAATATGCACTATTGCTTGACTTATGTGGATATTTTAAAAATAATGACATTCAAGAACTCTGTATATCTTCTTAAACTAGAGTAATATTTCAAAGCTCTTTTTGTGTCCTTAAGTAGATAAGATAAAAGCCAAGTGTGATGAAATATGTGGATTGGTCTCCAGGATGGCAAGAAGGCAACACAGTTTACATCTTACCATTGAAGTTGGATGTAAAACAGAAAACATCATATCTGCTCTTATCCTTATCCCAAAACCCGTAGTTCCTGACGCCGGGCACAGTGTTCTGGCCCCCACAGGGCTCTCTGGGCTTGGTGATGGGGTACTGCACAGAGCCATCGCTGAGCCAGCCTGCGTTGCACCAGTCCAGGCCACCCCGCCAGGCATCATAGAGCTGCTCAAAGGAGGCCATCACCGCATCCTGGTCCAGACAGGCCTGCTGCGCCTCGTGGAAGTTGAGATTGTAGCGCCCCAGGCGTGGGAAGTAAGGGAACACCACACCTGTCCAAGGAGAGGCAAGGGGTCAGTTGAGACACCAAAGGTATCAAACCTGAGCATGGCCCACTCGACTGGTAGAGCATACCATAGCATCTCGTGAGAGGAGGGAGTGACTTTTAGTCAACCAGCAGCAGTTCTTCATGGTCCCTTTCTCCTAAACAGCCTCCCAATCCCCAGTACCTCCCAGTTAGTTTTTTTGTTTGATGACTTCAGGGATTTGCCTCTTTTGTTACCAGTTCAGCGCATGCCTTAAAATTCTCCTTTCTAAAGATATCTGTCTGCAGATTGTAGTTTCCAAATAGCTGTCTCTGATAACTTGTCTTCCATTACTGGTCACTAACCCTGTAACAGATTACTACCAAGCACTTTCACTTATGGAAAAGTCAAAATTGAATACTAAGAGTCAGTTGGGGATGTGGAAATAGTTGACGTTGAATACTAGGAGTTGGCTGGGGATGTGGAAATAGTCAACATTAAATACTAAGTGTTTGTAGAGGATGTGTAAATAGTCAATGTTGAATACTAAGAGTTGGTAGGGGATGTGGATATAGTCAATATTGAATACTATGTTGGTAAGGAAGGTAGTGTTTAAAGACTGTATTTATCAAAATTCACAACATTTCACTTAGTAATGATTCTATAATTACAATTTAGTTGTATTTAGTCTTTCACATGTATAAAGAAATATGTTAACACATGATTCAAATGTAGCTATATTCCTGCTCTGATATGTGCTCTTAATAACTTGCAGATAAATCATTTTCATTTAAGGAGTTTTTTATTTGGAGAAACCCTAAAGTGAATTCCTTGGCATATGTAACAAAAACCTAAATAAACAGTTGCATTTCATATTCTGTACATTGAGGTATACCACCATAAAAGCACTGTGGTACCCTTATCGGCTTCAACTTTCAATGAGTCTATAATCTTACTTTTTTTCTGCCCTTGAATAGCAGAACTGAAACAGAAGCTTTCATTTGACAATATTTCCATTATTATTTTCAACTTCTAAATTTATGTACTCAAGCTGAAACTAAGCTTTTAAAAACATTTATATTACAAATTGGGGAAAAAAATGTCCCGAAGCATGTCCAATAAAAGGTAGGTACAGAGCTGGGCTCGGTGGCTCAGCCTGTAATCCCGCGTCTTTGGGAGGCTGAGGTGAGTGGATTGCCTGAGCCTGCGGGTTCGAGACCCGCCTGGGCAGCAAGACCTCATCTCTGCAATAACAACAACAACAAAAAATCAGCCGGGTGTGGTAGCGCATGCCTGTAATTCCGGCTACTTGGAAGGCTGAAGCGAAAGGATTGCCGGAGCCCAGCAGATCGAGGCTGCGGTGGCCGGGAGTGGCCGCTGCACTCCAGTCTGGGTGACAGAAAGACTTCAACTCAAAAAAAAAAAAAAAAAGGTAGGTACAGAATAGACGTCCGTTGATTGACTGATTAATGCCAAAGAATTAAGTTAGATATTTTAGAGGACAAAAATCCCTTAGTAAATGTCAACAGTGTGACTTGGCACTTGACTTTGCCTGGCAAGATGCAATGGTTTCCCAAAAGCATTTCTTTTGGTAAAATAATGATGGGAGGTGATTGAGCTGTCTTACAACCTTCTGCACAGTTTCTTTAAAAGATAGATAAAGATGTCTAGATAGGAAAGTAAAGTTGTATCATTTGCTGGACTTTAAGAAAAACCATTGTGTCAAAGTATCTCTTTTATAGTTATTCAAACATAACTAATTTAGAGTGATTAGTCAAGGACTTCCCTTGAATTTTTTAATATAATTAGAAATTATTAGTATTTTAGCACATGGAATACAAACAATTGTCCCACTGACACAGTAATTTGGTGAGCTATAACACATGTGCTGTTTTATGAGACTGTAGACCCTATTGAAGATGATGTGCAATTCACTAATAGCATAACCAGTGCACAGGAAATATTTTCTTTTATAAGTTGTCCTAGGAAACTTTACAAGGAGAAATTTCAATGGCCTTAAATCAAGTCACGTCCACTGAAGGCCTCTGTAGGACACATTTGTCTCTCTAGGGCAGTCCAGCTGGCACCATCCACAAAAGGCAGAAATCCAAGAAGGCTTCCTGAGCTCATTCTGCCTTCTCAGGTTCTTGGCTGAGGGATCTATAGGCTGAATCAGGGCCAAAAGGAAGAAGGAAAAGCCTCTCTTGGTTACACTGATTCCTGTGGAGAGCTGGAGGGAAGGCCTGGAGATGGTTTTGTCTAAGGCGGGTTCCGCCCAGGCACTTGACTGACCCAGTGAGCATGGGTGAGGAACTATTATAGTGTGCTCCCTGTCCCTTGTGTCTTCTATCCTCTTTCCTCAACAACTCTGGAAATGCAGATGAAAAGGAAAATATTCAACATGTCAGTAGAGATTCCCTTGGCAGCTAGATCTCAAAGAGAGAAATCCTCAAGGTATCTCAACCTGAGACGAGAAAAACCAGTTGGGCTGACTTCCATTTTCACAAGCAGCTCAAGATTGTCAATAGTGAAGCATGTGGGATATTTTAATGCATAGTAATTTTAAAGACCTGGAAAACCCTTCAGGTTTAAATTCACTGTAGAGTATTTTGGTGGACTCTTCTAAACATTACGACAAATTTTCCTCTAGTATTTTATTCTTTATTAGACACTGAATGTTGCTGAAATATGATGGATATAGTTCCAAACCCAGTGTAATGTATTTTTACTTGAGTTGCTTTCAAATTTTACATAATTTCATAAGATTTTTTAAAGTCAAAGTGACATGTAAAAATTTTAGTATTTTTTAATCATAGGAATAAACGGTCAACTTACTGTTTTATCAACTAAAGAGTTACTGAACAAATTTTTGATTAATGTTTGGTGGTACAGGAAAGAACATATTCCAAGTGAAGCAAAGTCAAGTTCTATGCCTTACTCAGAGTTTTCAAAAATTCACTGTATTCTACATGTTTCATGCACACATTTCAACAATCAGATGTTTCTTATAAGCAGGGGCATTTCTGAAACTACATATTTGTTAGTATTTTGTTTATTTATTCATTATACTTCTCGCCAGTTAAGATTTCAACATCCAATTATAGAAACCTTCTTGGTTCTGTGGAAAAACTTGCAACTTCTACAGCTGAATTATGGAGCAAATAGTTGCTTTCATCCAGTGTTGCAAAATAGAAAAGTTAAACTTTTACGGGCATAAAAGAAGGATGTATGATTATTTTTCAGGGAATATCTGACTCATTTATCCCTTATGTGGAATAAATGTCAAAATATAGTAAAAAACTCTTCACTTTTCCATGAAGGGTTGGTATGTATCATTACAAAGTGGTGAAGAAGAAGGATACATTACATGGAGAAAATAGCAAATGGTATAAGGAGTTGTCAGCTGAAATATATTCTTTAAGATTGATAACTGCACAACCCAATTCATCTTAGCTGTAGGCAATTATCAATTTGTTAGACATGTGGAGGGTTTTCATATTCTGGTACCTATAAAAGGTAAAGGAAGTTTCAACAACTACATAAATTAATTTTTTCTGGGAGTAAACAGGCACAGACCATGTTTAAATAATTTCACCTTCGTGGTGCCTTTCATAATACCCATTAGTACTATACACATGTCTGAAATTATTATTTGACTGGAAAGTTCTCAGATTATAATTTTGTATATTCACTCCCCTTTTCACCAATGGAAAACTATCTCAATGGAAACTTCAGTGTTGTGTTTTCATATTATTATTTGCATATCTATTAGTTGCTGAGATGAATTCTGTAGCCCAACAGTTTACTCAATTTCTTGTGACACTCTCTTTGTTATATTTGTATAAGGTTTGTTTCTTTGTTGGATGCTACTTCTAGGTAGGTAATTGGGAGCATTCAGAGGACTTAATCCTATCCAAGATTCTATAAGAAAATAGTTGTGTTTCTGCAGCTGATGCTAAGTTACATGGAAGTGAGTCTTTCATGAGGACTCACACATTTCTTTGTGCAATATGTTTCTACAAAGAGTTCTTAAGCCACAACTGGGAGCAAGGCATGTGCTTGGTTGTCCAGGATACAGGTAAGGGCATGGTCATGTCCTGTAGAGAATCTACAATTTGACAGGCTATATATATGTATGATGTGTATGTGTGAGTGTGTGTGTGTGTGTGTGTATATGTGTGTGTATATATGTGTGTATACATAGGATATGAATGCATATACATATGCAGGAAGTATATAGGATATATGTACACACACACGGTTTAAACCAGGGCAGAACAATAGCTTGTAATACAAAAAGGAACCACACAATTTAGGCATCATGGAAGACAATTTTTGTCTGATTGGTAAAATTCTTTGGTGAGAATAGCATTTAATCTGGCAATAAAGGTCCAACATAAAGACAACGTATAATCACAGTTGGAGAAGAACTAGTCATGACATCTGAAATGATTTGTATTCCCCACAACCCCCCACCATTGGATGAAGGTTACAAGGATGAGAGGAAACCTGAGTGAAACTTGCTGATTGGTATATGATCCCATGTAATTGATAATCAAAGAGGTCTGAAACAGGAACAAGAACTCAGTAATGATAACCACAAGCCATGTTTCTTGCCATGTATAGTTTGCCATGAATTTCAAATGCCAGTGCATCTAATCTGCTGAACTTTGCTTATCTAATTCAAATCGTGTGGAAATTGCTCTCAGCTTGTCAATCAAGTTGTCTCGAATTGTATTTTTATGGAATTTACTTTATTCTTGTGGTTGTCTTAAGTTGCTATTGTAATTTTACTTTAAGATATACATCCTTATACTGAAGCATATTTAGGTTAAATTGTATCCTGAGTTTTTTTTTTTTTTTTAAATTGGTCAGTGGGAGAAAGGAAAGCAAGGTAAAATAAGATTAGCTAAATCATGGTACTTTTTGAAGCTGGATGATGATATCTGAGGATTCATTATAGTAGTCACTCTACTTTTCCAAATATGTGAAACTAACTCAGTAAAAAATTGAACATTTTAACCTACCAGTCGCCATGCTGAGCCTCACGCAGGCAGACTGGTTTCTGTGTGTAGTAGCATCTACTACTCAAACTTTTGTTTTGAGGAATTTCTCTCTCTCACACATGCTGCCCCGCTCCTGCTTTTCCATGCTCTCTACCCTTTGAGAGGGTCACCGGTCATGATCCACACCAAGTCTCTTTTCCTTAAGAGTTCTTCCCATAACTCCCTACTGCATGCACATTTTTTTTTTTATTTGAAAGTTTATCCTCTTCATGTCAGACATTTACTCACTTGTGAACTATGTACCGAGCACTAACTTTGTTCTTGGCACTTGAGTGTCTTCAAGTAGATCATGGTTAGCAGGTGGACATGGGCAAGTTTGTAAATATTTACAAAACAAAACGGAATTAGGGATGTAGTGGACGTCTATATAAGGTGCTATGAGACCATCATGGGGGGTAATTTACAGCTACCACAAGCACAGGACAGTCCTTGGGTATCTCTCCAATAGTGTTAGGCTTTCAGGAATCTTCTGAAGCCTGAAGTTTCTGTATGCTGCTGCCTTTGTAAAGCCTCTCTTCTTCCTCCAACAGAAATTTCTCTCTTTTAGGGACCCCCAGATCATAGTGGATAAGAACAAAAGCTTCTCCCAATGCCCTTAGACTCAATTTCCAGCTCTAACTCTTTCTAGAGCCAGTCGTGTGATCACCTTAAAAAAGGTGATTGTCCTAAACTCTTAAGCTCCATCTATAAAGAGAATTTATTGAAAACAGGCACACTCTAACAGTGCATATGATTACAGTAATTAGTTTGCACCTACTTATTTTACTGACTTCTGCCTTATTTCATGAAATTTTTTAGGATACCAAATACATGGAACCAGCTTAGGTACCCATCGATGGTGTACTGGACAAAGAAAATGCGGTGCATATATGCCATGGAATACTATGCAGCCATAAAAAAGAACAAAATCATGTCCTTTGCAGCAATATGGGTGAAGGTGGAGGCCATTTTCTAAGCAAGTTACTACAGAAACTGAAAAACAAATACCACATGTCTTCACTTCTAAGTGGGAGCTGAACCCTGGGTACACATGAGCATAAGGGTGTGAACAACAGACACTGGGGATTCATAAAGGGGATAGGGTTGGAGGCAAGGACAAGAGTTGAAAAACTACCTATTTGGGTGATGGGCTCAATCAAAGTCCAGACCTTACCATAACTCATGCAACAAACCTACACAGGTAACCCCTGAATCAAAATAAAAAAAAAATTATTAAACAAAATCTTAGAATATTCAATAGACTGTAAGATTGTTGAATGAAAAGAGGAAAGACATGGAATTATTTGTATTTCATGGCACTAAAACAGCACGTAAACACATTTGTCAGCTAAATTGGTTTCTTGGACCACATTTACTTGGCTTATACACAAATGTGTTCTATGTAGGTAAGTGCCCCAAAGCATGGAGAATTCAGAGATCTGAGATGGTGCTAGGCCTAGGAAAGAAAGTTTTTTTTTTTTTATAGTCTCCTGTCAGCACCTTTAATCGTGCCTTGACGACACTTGATCTGGACCATGAAGTCTTGGTTTGAGCCAACACTTGCTAAATCTCCTTTCAAACAATGAGGAGGCAAGCTTCATGCTCAATGCCACTACCAAGCAGTGATATCCAGGTAGAATTTAGAAATATCTTACTTTCATTGTATTTATTTTTATGACTTCCTCCTATTTCTGGCAAGTTTTACTGGTTTATTATTTAAAATTTCATTTTGTAAAATAAATATAGGGAGTAAGTGTGCGTGTGATTTACTTAAATTGTAGGAATTATTGTGTCATTTAAACATAGGGTTTCAGAAGAAAAATTAACACATAATGTAGTTAAAATTCTTATCTCATAAACAGAGAAGCCAGAGTACTGCAAAGATAAGTGACTTTCTCCTGTCACAAAACTGATACTGGCAGAACTGGGATAACATAAGCCTCCTGATACCACCAGTTCAAGGCTCTGTCCGTCCTCTAATGCTCCTTTGATAAAGAAAATCAATTCTTAATATTTGATATTGGACCATCTTCTCTAAGGCAACTACTTCTTCCACCCTGAATAATGCCTATTTTCATGGATATTAATGTGACTCAATAAGAACATAAAGCACGAGGTAGCTTTATGTGAAGAACTTTTTACAATAGACAAGGAAAGGTCACAAAATGCACTTCACAACACTGTACAAATTGTTAGATGTGCAATGAAAAAATATCTCCATACATGAGGTGTGGTTCCGTGAGACTCTGAAGGTCAAATACTCAGTGATGTGCTGGCGGACAAACAGATATCTTTTCAAAATCTGTTTTAGGAGGTAAAGGAAGCTTCCAGCAGCCACATGCTTATAGTTTCATGCAATAAGAAAAATTCTATCAATGCTGCCAAAATTCACCCTTCAGTGTAGAGTAAGACTGAAATTTACAAAACACAAGATGTTCTGTGACAAGTCAGGAACTAAGGAGAGGAGATTCCCTGGAGGGTAGACATTGAATTGGGGGAGGTGGGATGGCAAGGACACTTTTTGTTGTCTAGCTTTGTACATATGTTGGTTTTTGAACCTACTGCTTTACATATTTAAAAAACAATTACCCCCCAAATTCCTTGGCCATTTGGTATTCAATGCCAAGGAGACTTTGGACCATTAAAAAAACCTGCTTCTTTACAAGAATTTTTAAATAAATCTAGAGGTTGCATTTTGTCAAATTAAGTTCTTGCAGTCATTCTACAGAATATAATGACATATTTTAGTTAGCAGATGTCCTTTATAAAACTTGCCATTATTTTGAAACTGAGATAATTTTAGAAGCATACAATGAAAAAGCATACAATCTGAATTTCTCAATATCCGCATCATGGGATTTAAATTTTGAATAGCATTGCAAAGTACAAAGGAATATAAAAACACACTAGGCATGGACTTTGGGTTTCTCACTTCATTTCTATGGTAACCACTAGGCACGGTTCCTCATGGAAACAAAAAGCCAAGATTAATGATCATTTCCAAGTTGAGTGTGGCCCACAGATGCCTACCTTGCAAATCTAGTGCCACCACGGCAGTGTCGTCTTCCAGTCCTTCGATCACCTCACACTTGTACCTCCCGTAATCATCCAGGGTGAGGTCTGTGATGATCAGGGAAGCGTCGTTCTCGCCACCCCCCTTCAGGAACACTCTGCCCTGGTAGCTTCCGTAGCTCTTCTTGTGGTAGCCCATGGAAACGAAGACATCCACTTCTTTGAGGTAATCGGAAGTTAGCTTGGTCCACTTAATTCGAATTTTGTGGATTCCTGAGCCAAATGCTGTAGGGTCTCGGTAAAATTTACATGGCAGTGTGACATTGCCACCTCTGTGTGAGAATACTTTGGCATGTTCAGCTTCCACGAGTAGACGGGGGCCATTTTCTGCTATAATTGAAAAAGAAATAATAGCCATTAATATGCTTTCAACTTTGTTGTAAAATGGAATATGCTACGTAGACTGGATGCCTGTTGAAGAATAGTTGTGGGTGATTTGCTCCTTACACAATCTTTTTTGAATCAAGTAGGTAGGCAGCTCTAGGAATTAGAAGGCATCTATAAGGTAGTCAAGTCTTAAATTCCAGAGGGAAGAATGTACATTATAATTAATAAGAAATATTGGATCCAAGACTCCAATGTCACTTGAAGGTCAATGATTTAACAATAGAATCTATTTTTCTGTTTCCAATTTTCTTCTACATTAAAATAGCCAAAATGTAGAAACAAGACTAGGAGAAGTGACAGAGTGCCCTGACTATTCATAAGCGTAACCCAAAACCTTTCAAGGTCTGGTAAGCCCAGCACAGCTATCTACTACATATCTTTGCATAGCTCTTACAGGCAAAATATGGAGCAACATGATCCACTCTCTTTGTTCTGTCCTGGCCCAAGAACTCAAAAACTCCTTTTCATTCGCCTTCTATTCAAATATGCCTGTGCTAGTCTCTCCTGAGGCATGCAAAACAACATGTATAGATTTCAGATTTGCACTCAAACCAGATTTCAGAAAGGCATTTTCAGTGAATGCTTTTTGACAAACTTCAGAAGATTTTGAAATATATTCCTCAAATTTGAATATTAAAAATGTATCCAAAGATTGACTTGTTTTCTAATTAACTGAATACTATTTGCTTCTTTATTTCCTTAAATATCCTCCCACTCACTTCTTTCTGCTGTGTCTGGTGTTATGATTGTCTTATCCCTTCTACCTGTCCTTCCTTTCATCTCCTCCCATCCCTGCCAAGGACTGCATCGCCTTCCAAAGAACACCACAATATCCTGAGTCTGCCAAGTCAGCAGGGCTGTTGCCTTCTAGAGACCAGCTGTTATTTTCAGATCTTGGCTTTCTCTGGGGTTTCCCCCAGGTTAGTACATTCTGCTCTTCACCTTGACAACGTCTCATGAGGATGCGCAATACTTTGGAAATGAGAAAGTGATATAAAAACTTTTGGGGACACATACCTATGTGTTCTTACACAGCTTTCAAAAGCTGCCAGGGCTGACTGTCATGCGGGTCTACAGATCTCCCACCCTGGGCAGGTAGGTATTGAATTGTCCTTGAACATGAATCATTTGAGGTGTACAAATTACCGGGAAGAGTAGCTACTTACTTAGAGATACAGTTATTTAATGGCATACATAGGATTCAGATTTTAAAATAGAAAGTGTCAAAAAATAGACACAGTATTTATATTTTTAGCAATCAACTAATATTTTAAAATGAGTATATCCTTTCATTTATAAGTGAGCCCAAGCCTCAAAAATTGAAAAGCTGAACCAAGACATTGATGCTCTCACCTTTGAACAGATAATGAAACAAAAAGATAACAGCTTCCTGCCATATTTGTGAAATCACAAATCTAGCTCATCACACATTTCCTGTACAGTCTTTATCTTCTTATTTAGTACCATAGAATCTCAACAGAGAAAAGATAAATCTATCCAAGTCTACCCTACACATACTTTTTCCCTGATGACTGCATCCTGGTTCTACCTAAGCATCTCTAGTGTCATCTTTCTGGGAGGAGGAAAAGGTACTGTTGAATAATTGTGCTCATTTGTGTCCAAGAGCCACAGGGAATATTTCTTACTCAGTATCTTGGGGTGACAGGGCACCTGGAAGATGGCCTTCCCATGCTGGGACATGTGTTTACATATGACATTGCTGCATGAGGTCTCAGATTCATGATTCTTTCAAGTTGTTTAGTTTAAAGTCAAAATTAATGCCAACATGTACTGGGAGAGAAGATATGACAGTAGTCAAGGACGAGGGCTTTAATGTAATATAGACCTAGGTCTAACCTCACCTCCTCAATTCACTAGCTCTATAGCCTGGGGCAAGTTATGCAACCTCTAAGTCCAGTAGAATTAGGGATAGTAATACCTACGGTATTAAAATTAACTGAATACACGTAAAGCACATAGAATAGTCACTGGCCACTAGTAAGTGTGCACTGTCAACTGTTCCTACTGTATAGATTTTATGCAGCATTTCTCAAATATGATACTGCCCAATATTGACCATAATCTCGCCATATACTAATCTTCCATAGTTTCACTTACTTAGAATATTTTGAACCATGTTGAGTAAGAAGTAAATATGCAAAATGCCACCTGTGTCATACAGGAGACTTGCAAATTGGTGCAGTTCAGTAAATCATAAACTGTTCCAGAATGAAAACAGGATCCAAATGTTTTATAAGTTAAGGCATTAAAGCCTTAACTTTTCTGTGGTTTACTGTAAACTATCTTGTCATATTTTGGAAAAGAAGTGCAGGCTTCTGATTTTTGTTTTTGTTTGACTTCTATTCCAGCACCGTGAGTAGAGGACAACTCATGTGGCATAACATTGAAAACTGAGCAGTCATTGAAAATCCACTGACTGCCGGGCTCGGTGGCTCAGCCTATAATCCCGTGCCTTTAGAAGGCTGAGGCGAGAGGATTGCCTGAGCCCGCGGGTTTGAGACCCGCCTGGGCAACTTGGCGAGACCTCATCTCTACAATAAATCAAAAATCAACCAGGCATGGTAGCGCACGCTTGTAGTTCCAGCTACTTGGAAGGCTGAGGTGGAAGGATCGCTGGAGCCCAGCAGGTCGAGGCTGCGGTGGTCGGAAGCGGCCACTGCACTGCAGTCTGGGCGACAGAGTGAAACTCCAACTCAAAAAAAAAAAAAAGAAAAGAAAATCTACTGACTTTACATAAAATAATTCTTCTAACAAGCCTGCTGCAATGTATAAAATTCTAACCATTCTTATTTCTTATTTGGGGTTGGAGATATCGAGGTAATAGATGACAGAAGTCTCTAGCTGAAATTCAAAGAACCCTTGGAAAGCCGTGAAGCACATCTGGAGACCAAGGGCCACTCACATTCACTGATCTAACCCCCAACCATGGCCTCGAAATCATATTTTGTCTGTTTGCTTGTGTTTAAATCTACACTGGGGATGACACAGCACCAAGCGCTACAGTAGGGAGTGGCCTGCTGCAGGACAGGTGAGATATGGAGGGGTGAGCCCTGGCCAGCAAGTTGGGATCCCTGAGCACATGTCTCAGCTGTTGGGCTCTGACAAGTCCACGTCATGAGACCCTTGCGCTTGCAATCCTTATTGGGCTCCATATCACAGAGGAAAGGAAAGGGACAAAGACCACAGAAAGGGACCCATGAGCACCGACTACAAACCCTGCACACTCTTGCCTGGAGAGAGTCTGAAATGAATGCTTAAAATTGTTTGATCATCAGGGCTCCTGCACAGCAATTAAAATGCAAGTGATAAAAATAAGACTTGATCATTAAGATTAGTATTGCTTGTTTTTCTTTTTAAAGAACATGAAAGAACAAATAAAACTGGGCAGCACACCAGTGTTCATTCCCCTTTTCCTGCCCATGTGAAAGATGCTCATGAACCCCTGAGCACACTTTGGAAGACCTCAGTCCAGCGTCTACACACAAGCTGCATATTGAAAACATTTGGCTAACTGATGTTGAAGATGTCCAGTGCGGGATGGGATGTTTTCTTTTCTTTTTTTTTGAGTCAAGGTGTTTCTCTGTTGCCCAGGCTGGAGTGCATGGCACTATCATGGCTCACTGCAGCCTCAACCACCTGGACTTAGGTGATCCTTCCACCTCAGCATCCTGAGTAGCTGGGACTACAAGTGTGTGCTACCACACGTGGCTAATTTTTTGATTTCTTTATCTTTTCTTTTCTTTCTTTCTTTCTTTTTGTTTTTGGAGACAAGTTCTCCCTATATTGCCCAGACTGGTCTGGAACTCTTGGGTTCAAGCAATCCTCCTGCCTCGACCTCCCAAAGTGCTGGGATTACAGGTATGAGCTACTGTGCCTGGCCAGGACTACATTTTTTTTAAAGAGCAATTTACAAGTACAAAAACTTCCCATTTGTATCCATGAGGGTCAGTGACAATGACTTGAAAGATTGGATGCCCTTCAAAGCTCAGAGTTGATTCCAGGGAAAACAGCAGGGCCTGGAGAGATGCTAATGGGGACCGCTGGGCCTTGTTATTACTTTACAGGTTCTGCTGTGATCTGGAGGATGTTGTCTGGTTTTACCAAGCAGTGAACACAGTAGTGTGACCAAACAACAGGTCTCTGTACTTGCTATGAAATTCAGATAAAGTCTTTCAAACAAGAGGACTAAAACAATTGCAGAAAAGAAACTTAGAAATATGGTATTGGACCACTACCAATTGTTCTTAGTTCTATTAAAAGTGTATTTTTTTGAGGTCAGTTCATACCCAAAGAACCTAGGTAACAGAAAAAAGAAGAAGTTGCTATGGACCAAAGTCTGTCTTTTCAAAGTGAACTGTGGATCGTGTAAGATCATCAGTCTTGGTTGTTAGTTACTTTCTCCATTGATGTATATAGTTGGAGGAGGTTTAAGACCTTTGGATCTTCTAGATCAATAATTATAATGAAGAAAACTCAACGGGGGAATGTAAGATGTCTACATAAAGTACTAGATATGGACATTTAAAAATATGTCTCCTAGGAAAAGCTCTACCCCCATCATTTAATTTTTTATGTGGTACAGTATATATTAAACAATTTGCTATTTTAACCAATTCATTGTCATCAATTACCTTAATGTTGTTGTGCGGCCATCACTACCAGCTCTTTCGAAAACCTTTTCACCACCCAAAGCAGAAAAATCATTTCTCCCTAACATCCTAAACCAACAGACATGGACTCAATTGTCAGCTCCACAATAAGTCATTTGAAAAAACAATGTACAAGGTTTAAAAACACTTCCTGCTTTTGTGACGCATGTTAACTAACACTTTAGTAGATATGGATGTGTAAGAATGACTGACACAATGGAAGCTGTGATTTCTCCTCTGGTAGCCAAAGCATACAGCAAAGAAGGAACAGGG